ATTTTTTTTTTTTGTGGGGGAGGTATTCAGGGTATCTTCCTTTCTTACTCTTGGCCCCTCTCCTTTTCCCTTTTCTCTGGTTATTCACATCTTATGCCCGCACCTCAGCGGCCTGGATCTCCCAACAAAGAGGCGCGAATCCTAATTAGGGCTCGCTCTGTCCGCAGAGGAGAAACATCTGTTCTTCCCATTTCCCCAACGGGTTGTTTGCCCCCTTATCCGGAAAAGAGGGATTCGTGCTCTAGCAGGGAAGACCCTTCCTCCTCCCCTGGCTGAGATGCAGGGCTGCGGACAGACAGACAGACGCACAGATCAACTTCGCCTTGCAAAAGGCGGTGGAAAGGGAGCTCTTTGCAAGCCCCGGCCCCCATTTCCAATCTTCCCCCAGCCTCAAAACGAAGGCTCGCTCCACTTCCCCTAAATGGGCACTAGGGGGAGCTCTGGCAACTGGCTTCGCCTTCGCACGGTCTCTATCTGGGTTTGGTTGAGCTTAATAAAATATATATATATCTCACTATATATATTTCCACGGACTTGCAAAAAAAAAAAGGTAGTGGTCGGGGTGGGGAAGGTATTAGATTCCCTCTCCCCCCCTCCAAGGGAGCATAAAGAAAGTTATGGTTCCAGGGTAAAATCGTCCCTTTACTCCCCCATTCCTCCCCGAGCCCCCAGGACCCCGTTGCCCACCCACCTCCCCCCCGGACTCGGTACCCAGGGGAGGACGGGTGGCAACTGAGCCCAGGGCAGGACGAAGGCAGGCAGGGAGCCCGTGCTGCAGGAGCACCGCGCTCCTGCGCGGAAATCTAGATCTAGGCTGCAGCAGGGGAGGGGCTGGGAGGGCACACTTTAGGGTTGGGGGTGAAGGTGAGAGACACGCGGGGAGAGCTTTAGCGCTGAGAAAGGGAGGAGAGGCACACACGAGAGACCGTGAGTGACGGGGAGAAAGCTGCCTGCGGTTCTCTTCACCATTACCCCCTCCCTCCACAACTCCACCCGGCTTTTTTTTCCCCCATGGAAATAGAGAGAACCCCAAACAGCGGCAAAGAGCTTCAGATATATATTCATTTGGTTCTAGCTGGAAGACTTAGGAGCTTGGCATTTAAATGCTCTTCCTTTCTGGAAGGGAGTACTTTTAGTGCTTTCATTCATTTGGGGGGGGTGGTAGTTAAGGGGGAAGAGAAAGGGGGAAGGGAGAGGGTGAGAGAGGAGAAATCGTATGTGTGTGTGTGTGTATATGTACATATATGTATGTGTGTGTGTGTGTGTATATCTATCAGTACACCACCAAGTGGCACAGAGCAGTGATAACTAAACTTAGAAAACTTGCCCAAGTTACTGTCAAGGAGGTGAAGATGCTTCAACTGACAGAAAAGCGTTTGGGAGCACCTAGTCTCCTGCCTCTTTGGAGACAAAACCATCCCTCCCTCTTCCGTTGTTCTCACATAGACCCATTTTTTTAAGGGACATTAGGAATCCCATCTAGAGAGATTATTTTGTTATGACCTTTGGGTGGGATTCACTTTTTAGATGAACCCCCCACCCCCACCCCAAGACTTAGTCCAGGCTGCCTTTAAGCCAGGATCAGTAAACAGTCTTAATCAAACAATATCTCCAGTCACCTCCACCCTATACTATGTTTCTTACGATTGAACTTTGAGGAAGAGGTCATGTAGGCTTCTCTATTTGGGTTTCTGGAGACATAAGTCTGGGCCTTTTCATTCGAAGGGTTGGAAACTTTGGAGACCTCCTTCCCCAAGAGAGGAGGGAGGGGCTCAGGTGAAGAGTGCTGGCTTCAGAAAAGTTCATTTTGGAGATGGATGAGGATCTGTAAAGGAGGTTGGATTAGATGCTAAGTTCCCCTTCAACCGTGACATTTCAATGTTAGATTTCTGGGGGTGGGGGAGGGAGGAGGAGAAGCAGAAATAAGGTCCTTATTGGAATCATTTCTGCATTCTTTGTGCCCAACACCAAGCCTTCCACGGACATATGGTTAGCTCTCAGAATATCTTGGGTGGCCTTTCCTAGGGCTTCTCCTACCTCAACCCTGTCTTTCCCTTCCCCAAAGTGTCTCTGAAGAAGAAAGCACAGCCATCATATAGTTGACTTTTTATTAAGATTATAAATTTAAACAAATAATCTGAACAGTTTTACCCGGTAATATACAATTTCATATGCACAAAATACAAGGATACAAACAAAGAGGGCAGTGAAGGGAATGTGTGTCAAACTAGCAACTTTTGGGTGAGGACACACAGTGTTGAGTGTGGCCTGTAAGACAGGCTGCCCAAAAACCCACCTTTTTACAACAAAAGGTCTTTAAACTAAACAAAAAAGATATCGATACATAACTGAAGACTACAGGACAGTATTCCTCACAAGACCAAAGGATGCTGGTTTTATGAAATCCAATTGAAGGCTGAAACCAGAACACTTAAACTTTAATAAACACACACACCACACTTGACCAGAGACTTGGTTAAAAGAAGAAAAAAAAGTTCTAAGTCGACTACTTTTCCTGGCTTCCCCATGGAGGGTGGGGGAGGGTGGATGGGTTACAGATCAAGGTGAAGGGATAAATTTCCTCCCTTCCCTTCTTGAATGAAAATTAAGTTCAAAGAAAAGGCCTTAATGCTGTGCATGATGGGAAATGTAGTTCAGTTTGCATGCCCTCCATTGGTCCCCCCACAAACATAGTGTCCAGCTCATGGGAGGGTCCAAAGATTTCTGGGAAAGAACTAAGGTCAGAGAAGACTGAATGAAGCCCTTCTGCTTGTTTTCCCCAGAATTACAGTTGTGGAGAAGAGAGGGAAGGAAGAAAGGTGTACATAGAAAGAAGGGGAGGGTGGGCGTTTTAAAAATAGCATTAAAAAGTTGAAATGTTTTTATTTCTGCCTCCCCTTTGAAAATGCTAGAGATCCCACTAGAGTCAGAGGCTGGCCAGGAATGGAAACACAGGCTAAACGAAAGCCTTCCCTCAAGCTATTCCTCTTTCTCTAATTTTTCCCTTTTTGGACCAAAATTTTTCAAGGGGGAAAAATTTAGTTCCACCTCTTACCCTTCCAGTACAGTTCCCTCTCAGCTGATTCTTGAATTCAGTTTAAAGAACTGACAGCTTTGATGTGGAATTGATCAGACACTAATCCTTCCAGGGATATGATAAATCTCCCCTCCGTTTCCCCCTTAACCTGAGTGCCCCTAAAGGAAAGCCAGGGCACTCTCTTTAACCAGGGTCAACACCAGAGCCTAGGCAGAGTTTTTGGCCTCCGTGCAAGGCTTGTAACCCGTCTTTCCCCCAAAATTTCCTCTTGTAGCAAGCAGCTCTTGCCTCACGTGGCTGCCTCCTCCACCGTTCACCATTGCAATCGATACAATTAAAAAGAGAAAGATAAACACAAAGAATATTTAAATAGGCGCTTTTTATCTCTGCAAAAATAAAGTCCAAGATCTTACATTTTTATTTTACAATTTATAAAACATTAGCTGTCTCCCCTCCTCCCCCACAGAACACCCCATAACTCCCCAGGCACCCCCTCCCCTCTTTCCCCCATTTCCCCTAGTCTTTTGTCTCCCACTGTTCCCGCACCCCTAACTGTGGCCGGGCACTCTCTATCCCAAGCTCCCCTGATCCCTAGAAGGCCACGATGGCCCGAGTCCAGGCTCCCAGACTGGCCAGAGCCTGCTTGCTGCACAACTGCCCGTTCAGAGACTGCTCCGAGTCCGGCTGCCGGCTCACTAGCCCAGTGAATCCCGAGCCGAAAATCGAGATCAAGTTTGATATGTTGGAAGCGTCCGGGGACGACTCTGGGCAAAAGTCCTCAAAGCGGGCACGCTTGCAAGGGGTAAAGGGGGGCCCGCCCCCGGGGGGGTCTCCCCCCAGTTCCCCTCCCTCCTCCTCTTCCTCCTGTCCAGGGTAGTACTTGCGCTTGGTGCCTGGCAGCGCGGTCGGGGCCGGCACTGCGGGGCCCAGTCCCGGGGCGCCCTGCCCGCCGCCGCAGCAGCAGGGGCACTGCGCCGAAACGCAGCAGTCTTGGTGCAAGTAGCCGTTCTCCACTGTAGTCACCACGTGAGTGTCTAGGTCCAGGACGGTGGTCTGGCTGCTACAGTGTAGACTTCCCCCGGCCACCGGGAGCGGGCTGCCACCGAAGTCCGAGGTGAGCGGGTATACGCCGCCCGGGGCGCAGCAACCACCGCTCCGGTAGAAGCCAGGGGAGGCAGTGGAGGAGGAAGCAGCAGAAGAAGCAGCGACGGAAGAGGAAGAGGAAGGTGAGGAGGAAGGGTCCCGGGTACACAAAGCTGGGGGCGGCGGCGGCTGTTGCTGTGGGGAAGGGCTTGGCTGGAGCGCCAAGGTCTCCTCCCGGTGGTGCGCGCCGGGCAAGAGCGCAGCGCACACGGGCTCCAACAGCTCCCCAGCGCCCCCGCCTCCGCTAGCTCCTCCTGCGGGCGCCCCGGCGGCGCAGCTCCGGTGCTGTTGCAGCTGCTGCTGGTGGTGGAGGTGGAGCTGATGAAGCTGGTGTAGTTGCTGCCGGGGCCCTGGATCCCGTTCCTCCGGGTCTCCGGGAAGTTGGAGAGGCTGAACTCGGCCATTTCACCCGCGGAGCTCATCATCATGCCGCCGCCGCCGGAGTACGGGTGCTGCTGTCGACGGTAGAGTTCGGCGTAGCGCTCGCTCAGGTAGAGCTGCCGCGCGTTGCGGAGCACGTAGGAGACCAAAAGGTTCTTGTGCAGCTTAATGCCACCGCGCTGGGTCCGCGAGCTGTGGATCTTCCGCAGAGAGATGGTGATGAGGCTCTGAGCGTCCAGGGCGCACTCCATACTCCTCCGGAGAGACTCAGCACCACCAGCCGCCACCGCCTCCTGCCACTGCCGGGCGCATAGACACGCACAGCACCGCGCGGCGCGGGCACCGGAGAGACTTGGTGGGGAGAGCGAGGTGGAGGAGATAGAGATGGGGGACTCTGGGAGAGGTGGGAGGCTGTGGGCAAAGGGTGGGGATGGCTGCTTCTACAGCCCGATGCTGCGATGTGGAAGAAGGAAAAGGAAAGGGGAGTCTCCGTTCAGCGGGTCGACATCGCTGGGAGAGGCGCTGCCACCATCCCCACCGCGCGCCCCGTCCGAACCCGACCGCGCAAAGCAATGAGCTTTCGCCGGCCCCAGCCCCCGCTATTTATCCGAACGCCAGCGCTCCGCCCCTCGCTCCCCAGGCCAACCAGAGCCCCCGTCGCGGTCGGAGTGACAGACACTGCCCGCCCCAGAGTCATCTGTCCGTCCAATCAGACCAAGGCGGTTCCTTTGTCCTATTCAAATAACGAACGGACCCAGGGCCGCTGCCGGCGCCGCAGTCAGCGCTGCCTGGAATGTTCTCAGGAGAGAGGGTTGGAGCTGCTGGAGCCCGGAAGGCTGAACCTGCAGCTGCCCCTTGTCCAGGACCGCAATGGCTGTAAGAGACATACACCCTACCCCCTCCACGCTCCTCTGCTTGCAAAAATAAACAAAGAGAAACAAAGCCACAGCTATTCTTTCCTTCCCTTCCGCGACACAGCCCTCCAGGCTCCCTATGGAGCTGTTACTGAGCGCTCACCTGCGCGGCGGCTCCTCCCCTTCCCCGGCCGCTCAGTCTCACCTGCGGCAGGTGTGTGCGCGCGCCCCCTCCCGCGCTCTCCTCGCAAGGAGGTTCCCGCCCACGGGCACGTGACCTGCCCCTTCGGCGATCCCCCGCATGACACCTGCACTGACAGAAGCTCGCACAGGTTCGGCTTTCTCTCGAGGCCCTGTTTTCGAGTGTGCAAGGTTGGCTCAAGAGCTTCATCCAGTTCCTTTCCTGGCTTCTCCACTTTATTCTACATACTGCGGTCCTTTTCTTATCCCAAACGGCCTGTCCTGTGCCTGACTGCCTCCTATGTCTCAGCCACCTTTACTTCAAGTCTCTCCAATAGAATTTCCCTCTCCTCTTCCCCTCCTTCTCGTGTCGGATGCGTACACAGTCCATTATCAGCTCTGTCCCTTCCCAGTCGCTTGGACACATGAAGCTTCATTGCCCTGTAAATAAAAGAGTTGAGAAAACAGGAGAATCTAACTTTGGTTCAGAGTAAGAGAACTTGTTTTAGAGCTGAAAAGGACTCTCATTTGACAAATACAGAAACAGGATCAATGGTAGTCCTCTGTGGATCAGGGAGGTGAGCTGCCTGGTCTGGGCCCCTCTCTAAGGTCCTATAGGTGGATTAGGAAAGTTTCTCCTCCAGACCGGTGCCATTTTATGTCACTCAAAGGCAGAAACTACAGAAGCCTTTAAAGGTTTCTAGTTTGATAATTTTAGTCTCCAACTTCTACCATTTCAGAGAGTGACTGAACCTCCTGGCCTCTGAGAATCCATAGTGAGGAGATGATTTTAGCATTCTGAAAATGGGGAAAATTGAGACCCAGAGATTTAAAATTTTTTTTAAAATTTAACAATTTTTTGGGTTATATTTTAAGTTCTGAAGTATCTCCCTCCCTCCTTTCCCCACTGCATTTGACACACACACACACACACACACACACACACACACACGTAACCATACCATTCATACTCCTATTTATCAGTTCTTTCTCTAGAGATGGATGGCATCTTCCTCCAAAAGTTTTTTGTAATTGATTTGAATATTATAAAATTCAAAATAACTTAGTCATTCACAATTATTCTTTGAATAATATTGCTGTTACTGTATACAACGTTCTCTTGGTTCTGCTCATTTCATTCCATTATTTCATGTACATCTTTCCATGTTTTTCTAAAATCAACCTGCTCATCATTTCTTACAGGCAGAGATTATTCTTGACAAGAGCTAAGTCAATGACATGAATTCAAGAGTGTGCCACTTCTGAAATATTAGCTTTTAAACACAAATAGGCTAAGGGAATATCCTGAATTTTACTTATAAGAGGTAGACTGAGACAAGAAAAAAGTATTTGGAGAGTCAGTGGTCAGATCCTTTCATTTTCCAGTCTGTTCTCTACTCTCTGACAGAGCAATGTAAGGGGGGCATTAACTAAAAGCAGAATTTGAATGCTCAAGACTAGATTCTTTTTTCTATCTCCAGAAGCAAGCTATTCTTCAGCAAAGATAATATCTGTACTTCCTTTGTCCTCTTATCTTGAACCTAAATTAGTTTCTTTTGTTTCCTCAACTCCCCCCCCCCCAACTTCTGGTGCCTTAACAGTTATGCTTCATGGCAGTGAAACTTGCCCCTTAATTTGGGCTTTTCCACCTTCTGCAACAACTGATTTACACTGGAGAGGAAGGTAGGAAGTTCTTCAGGCTGCCTCAGGAAGTAGCTCTGCTTTTTGGGCCTCACCAATTGATGTACTATAGTGACTTCCCACTTTAACTTAGCCTAATAATAAATCAAAATGGTATGAGTGACTTATGAATGCAGATCAGCACAATGCAGATGTGCAGAAGTAGAACACCAGGGGAAACACAGTGTTTGTATGGGGAGGAGAAAGAAGTAGGGGGAGAGAGAAAGAGGAGAGGAGAGACCATAGGTCCTCTTTTGCACTTGAGAAAAGGACACTGTGTTATGGTGTGTCCAAGTTGGAAAGGACCTTAGAATACAAAATTTGGAACATTAGAACTGGAAGGCATCCTTGAGCCTATGACTTAGAATGTCCTAGCGAAAAGACTCTCAGAATGTTGACTATGAGTACTGAAAGGGACCTTAGAGATTATCTGCTCATTTTAGAGGTAAGGAAACTGAAACAGAGTAACTACCTACCCATTGTCATTTGAATCCTAATCCAGTACTCCTTTTACTCTAGGGTACCCCACATTGTGATACACATAGAAATAAAAATATACCTTTACCTCCTTCCTTCTATCTGGCCTATATCAGGGTTGAAAAAGTATATTAACCCTCAAAACACATCTGACAGCATCAGATACGTCTGTTTTGTAGCTAGGGCCATGGAGTGGCACAGAAAAAAAGTGAAAACATTTGTTCAAGTTCTCATAAAGTCGACTCATAAAGGATGACTGATGTGGTGGAAATAGCATTGAGGGTCAGGAGACCTGGATTTGAATCCTGCTTCTACATTTACTAGTTGTGGGAACTTGGGCAAGTCAGTTTACCTTTCTAGATCTCAGTTTCCTCATCTGCAAAATGGAGATTATACACTTGTAATTACTACCTTGTGTTAATGTGCAGAAAGTGCTCTATAAAATTTAGAATGCCATTTAAATGCAAGTTATTATGAATATTGTTGGGTCCAGAGGCCAAAACTCAATTCTGAATCCCAGAGAATTTGTTTAGTTTTATGATCTGAAACATGGTGAAACAACCATAACTATATTATTAGGGGAAGTTTTAATTCACTTTTAAGTGTGTTAAGTAAAGTAGGAACAGAGCAAGGACTTGAACCCAATAAGCATTTAGGCTCCCAGGTTAGGGTACTTTCTATCCAATGGACCACCTTGTTTTCTCCCCCTTCTCCTATCTTTTTTGAAAGAAAATCAAAGCAAATTCCCTACTTTTATACTGAAGCTCCTGGCATTGAGCTGAGTTACTGGTACAATTCTGGACACATAGTAGGTACTCAATAAGTAACTTGTTTAATTGAATTGAACATCACTAATCCTCCAGCTTCACTCTACTCTGATCTTGAAATACTCGTTGTAGAATTGTTGGGAGACTAATTCTGACATCACTATCTTGCTTCTTGGGAAGTTCTGACATGCTGCATCTCCATCTTTTGAGTTTATGGAATAGAAGATTTCCCTTCTAGATTTCAGAGCAACAAATCCATTCTGGCACATCATCACCATCTCCTATCCCTGAGGATATGAGGGATACACAGTGGCCAGACGAACGGAGATGACTAAATGAGTGCCTAGTTTTTGTCAGTCTTTGCTCTGTGGTTGGATGGAGCTTGGTAATATAGGAAAGGTTAGTTTTGACTTTTGTAAGAAAATATTTGCCCACCAGTTTTTTTTTTAAAGTCCTAACTTTGAATAGGAGGAAGAATGGTATGAATAGAGCTTAGCTTCTCAGGATTATAGAATAAGGGAACTTTAGAAATGGAAAAGACCAGATTTTAGAGAGTATCTAGTCAATTCCTCTTAGAACTTCCATAATAGGTCGAGGTAAGAAGGTACCTTCTAAGGTAAAAGGCCAGACTTGTTTATTTGGACTTCCTATGGAGACTGAGGTTAAAAGCCTTTTAGAATTACTTAGGTATCCCTAAGAGAGGAGGGGTTGGGGAGGTAGTATAGCATGCTAACTTAATTCCCTCCTATTGGCTTGGAGGCAGGTAGGTGGCTCAGTGAGTAGAGTGCTGGGCCTGGAGTCAGGAAGACCTGAGTTCAAATCCTGCCTCAGACACTTACTAGCATGTGACCCTGGACAAGTCACTTAACCTGTTTGCCTTAATCTATTGGAGAAGGAAATGGCAAACTCCTCCACTGTCTTCACCAGGAAAATCTCATACAGGGTCACAAAGAAACTGAACAACAAGAGTAGACTGGAGGAGGTTGAGCTGGACCTTTGAAGGAGGGTAGGGTTTGGATATGAAGGAAGAAGGGCATTCCAGGCAGGAAGGGCAGGACCGGACCTAAGAGATCATCTAGTCTAGCTCCCTTCATTTTCAGATAAAGAAACAGAGGCTGGAAATGGAAAGAGTGATGTACTTAAGTCAGAAAAGCCTAGGTTCAAATCTCATCCCTCAAAGTTACTACCTATGTAACCCTGAGCAAGTCACTACCTTTCAGAACATCAGTTTCCTCATCTCTTAAATGGAGGTTATAGCAGTATTAACTGCAACTTCATATAATCAATGAATAATTGTTGGTTGAATTATTAATGCCCAAAGTGCAAGACAGGTTGTCCAGAGAGGATCTGGGTGAGTGCTAACCTACTCTAGGTGCTGACCAGGTTCCCCAAATCAGATTCCCTGATTGACAACAGAGCTGTTAACTAAATTCTCATTCTGAAAGTGTTGTAAAACTCAAATAAAATAATATTTTTTCAAGCACTTTGCAAACTTTCAAATACTGTACAAATGCTAGCCATTATTATTATTATCATTGTGAGTTGGAGAGCGTTAGATTTGGAAGGTATTCTATAGATGAGGAAACTGAGGCCCAGAGAGTGGGAAATGACACCCCAAAGGCCCACAGTGAGTTGGTGACAGAACCCAGACTCTTCAGACTCCCAATTTTCTCTAAATTGGGACTAGAGGAACAGACCTGTTCAGTTCCCATCTAACAGTGCTCTTACTTCTGCTATCCTTACAGAACCTTTTCTGATAACAGAGCAGATGGAAGGATGAAAAATTAGAGGTTTCTTTTTCAGCTCTGAGCTCCTTCTGCCTCTTCTACACCCTACTGTGTCCCCTAGCAGTGTGACTGCACCTTTTGACAAAAGACAGTTCTAGCTCGGGCCCTTTGGAAACTTCTGTGTTGTCCACAGGGGTCACTGTTGAGGCCTCCTGCCTTTTTTCAGCTTGAGTTCCCCACTTTCATAGGTTTTGATACTGGGACACAAGCAAAAAAACTATTATTTTACAGTTACTTATTACAGTTAATAAGGCAGTAGGACTGATTGCTGATGGGAATTTGGAAGGAGTATGAGGAGTCTGATTTGGGGGGCCTTGGCCAGCACCCAGAGTAGGTAGCACTCACCAGATCTTCCCTGGCACTACCTGCATTGGACTGTGGGAGTTAATGATTCAACCAACAGTTGTCCACTGAGTGTCAACTGTGGGCCTGGACCGTTGATAGGCATTGTGGAGAATACAGGAAAAGGAAATATTGTTTG